GTTTTTAAAAGAGCGTGTACTTGTTTCTAATCCACATGTGCAACGTACATGCGAGAAACCGGCGCAGTTCCGTCCATATAAAGCGCAACGTAACGATTACGCGCCATTATTTACATGGTTGAATCGTTCGTGTATCCTTCGCGTGTTGACCCTTTTAAGGATGTTCAACAATGTCGCAACGTGCCCGATTTCCCGACGAAATATCTCACAAACGTGGAACGTTTTCGTAATCCACCGAATCTGCAAAGCTTCCTGGTCGTCGAATCCCCAATTACACTCGAATTTTCTTTTTTAAAGAAAAAAAAACGTCGAAGGCTAGATTTCAGATTTTTTTTTTTTTTTCAGTCTCGATTGTTGCCAGTGATCTACGTTATTCAAATTAGTTTGAGATGGGCTATTCACATTCGTAAAAATATAACAACCTGCTCGAACAGTTTCCTTTTTAACAGAGTGAAACTCTCAATGTTGAAATTTTCAATTGCTCGCTGTTTTCTCTCGAAATGGAGATGCGTGGAGGCAGAGATTGACTCTGAAATTCCTTTTTAATCGCTATTAGAAAGGCGGAGATTTAAAATCTATGAATTGTACAACGAGCAACAGGATCGATCGATAACCGTGGAAGTTTCTTTCGTTCCGCGCGTTGCGGGTGCGCCTTTAAGCGGGGAATTTATTCCCAACCGTTTTCACACAGGCGGTTTATGCGGACAGTAAATTGACGTTGATTTGAGAACGTTCTTAACGTCGTCGTTTGAAAAACGATTTTAAGATCGGCGAGCTAGTTCGTCTCGTTACAAAGAGCCGAGAGAATACTAATAACGTTTCATATAAAAGGGAACGAAAATGAAGGGGATAAAACGTCTCCTACATTCCCTTGATAAACGGTAAATCGATACCGTCTTAAGCCGTACACTTTGTGTATATTAAGTGGGTTATCTCGCTGGCCTCGATACTCCTCAATTCCGTATCCTCGAAAATGTCGACCGAGGTAATTTCAGATTCCTTCAGATCGTTCGAAAGTGGATGTTAAACCTTCGACCCTTTGGATCGGCCCACTGTCCTCCATTTTTCCAAAGCAAGTCCAGTTTCAGATAATTCGATACTAATATGAGTGTGAATCAAAGCTTCATCCGAGCTCCGAGAATTACAGTATCAAACCATCCTTCCCACCCACTCTGTCAATTCACTTAGCAGAGCGAGCTTGCATGAAATATGCATACGTCGATATAGCTGGCCGATTTCACGACCTGGTTATATACCTTGAGCCGGTTACAACAACGAAGAAAAAAAAAAAAAAAAAGAAAAGAAAAGAAAACGGCACACGATAGGCGTACACGTTGGTTCTGCGAGCGCGCGTGCGGTGAACCCTCTGGCATTAGGCTGACACGCGTGCGACACGATATCGTCGAACGCGTTCGAAATGCCGCGTCCACTCGTCTGGCGTGTTTCTTTTGTTGTCCAGGCCCCCGTTTTTCGTGCTGCCACGCGGCCCGTTATGCAACAATCAATTAAAAGAAAAATTGAACGACACAGCGCAGACAAACGCTTGCGCAACGATCGCGAGTATTGTTTGGGGTGAGCACGGGAAATTAGCCTGTGCGTTGACGTGTAATTCCATATTTTAACTTCTTAACTGGGTAAGACGAAATATTTCGTCATGGAAATTTTCAATGTGATATTTTTATTGGAGTCTAAACGGAATTTATATATTTGCTAAATATGTCGAATAAGATATTTTGTCAAAGTAAATCGTCAACAAGTGAAAAACGATGGTCTTTACTTTTCGTTGCTTTAGGCGTGATAATATACGAAGGGAAAAAAAATCGTGAAACAAGTTATTTTTATATGAAGCAAAGTTAATTAACAGGTTGAAGATAGGAGCGTTAATTGAAATTTCTTGGTGTAATAAATTTCATGGCAGAATTAAAAGTGTGAGTCCCACCTTTTTTGATACGTAAATAGGCACGGTGGGATATTTTTTTACACGACCTTGAAAAATTATTATTATTATTATTAGTTAAAATAAACCAACTTTTGTAAAAATAAAATTTCCGTGCAACATAGCTCTTTTTTTTTTCTTTTTATTTTTTAATTTTACTCCGTGCCTCACAGAGTGAAACGAATGAGTATGCTTCGTGAAGTATTTTAATACGAATTCGTAATTATAGCAATTCGATAATATACTTTAAATAACCTGTAGTTCTAATGACACGAGCTCGATGATCCAATTGTGTACAGAAGAATCTTACTTTCATATTAGAACATGATAAAAGTAATATTAATATAAAATCTAGTCATGAAGAAGAAAAAGAATTCTCATAGCCATCAAAAAAAATTTTTTTTTTTTTTTTTTGTTTTCCATCGCAATATTTCTGCATTTCCAACAAAACAGTGTCATAATTCATTCGTGCACGTAGTGTGTGACACATTCTGCGTAACTATAGTAATTAAACATCGTGCTAAAGGTATCGTTATATCAGACCTGTCCAATATTTTCGTTGAAAACTTTTTTTCTCCTTTTTTCAAGAAACATTTCATACGCTCGTATATGAAAAAAAAAAAAAAAAAAATCTCCTATTTGACCAGAACCGATTTTATAATATACGCGTGTTAAAATATTTACTTTCGACGAATCAGCAAGACGTTTTTACACGTGTGAAAGATCTGTATCGACGATATCAAACATAATCTAACTCTTTGTGGAATCATTTCAATAATTCGCACCGACAAGAGGTGTTCAAAATAATAATTTCAATCTTCAATCGAAAAGGACCGCGTACTCTCGTCAAAGCGAGAACGTTTCATTCGTTAAGTCACTTTATTTTATTCCGTTTCCATTAAGCAGACAATTTATCGAGCTGCCACGTGTAGGCACTTCCTCTCCATATGAACGTATGAAATATTTCTGTCCCGTTGTTAATAAAGAATAAAGCGTACAGTCGAACCTCCGTTTGACTTTATTACGTAGAATCGTGTTTTATCGCGAGATTTCTACGACATTTCTAATATCATAATCGTCCACCTCGGTCTCTCGGTTTTAAATTAAATTTCACAAAGCTTAATTACACGTCGCTTGTTTTTCCAGCGTGCGTGTACATTCTTATACGGGATATATCTCGCAGTTACGAGGATGAAAATTTCTCTAAATTTGAAATTGAGATCTTCGCCTGTTTCGTTAACTTTGAAAAGAAATTGTCCATTCCATTGGCTGAACGTGGACGATTTTATCAACACGGAAGAATCGAGAAATCTTCAAGCTTCGATTGTTTTTAGAATTATATATTAGATTAAAAATAAGAAGGAGCAGAAAATAACTAAAAATAAACTTCCTTTAGATGGGACGAACACGGCGACGCCAGTGCAAAACAACGCGCCGACGGAGCACACAGGGGGTGATTTCGATAACGCGAGCGTCGGAAGTGGGAACTCGAATCTCAGTACAGGCGCGTTACAGGTAGGAGCAACAAGTAAATAAAATCGAGAACGCCCAGTTGATAATGAAAATACTTGCATTACTCCGAGTATTACGGGATTTTTCTATTAATATTTGTAGAATATCCGAGAGCAAATGGCGGCGTCGTTAGAACGAATGAGGGAGCTGGAGGAACAGGTCAAGGCAATCCCCATGTTACAGGTAAACACTATGATTCCCATCCGCGTCCCGTGAATCGCGTATTTAATTCGAACTTTAACGAAGGCACACGATCGCGTTTAAATTGTAAATAAACGACCTGCGCCGCGTTCGAAATTCGAAATGGACCCTGGCGACCATAATTTTAGAACTTTAAAGAAGAAATCAATTCAACTCACGATCGAAGAAATTCACATTACGTTCTATAGTGAATTGTATGAGTCACGGGTTCACTTCTTTCTTTCGGTTGCGATACTTCCGTCGAGGAAGCATAATTACATCGAGCAAAGTAAATACACCGAGTATTGCACTGGCACGTTCCGAGCCTTTCGAGCCTTTCGAGAGTTTTCATTTAGCAGGTACCTAGCTGAAATTAACGTTGTACGCTCGCGTCAAAGATAAATTCTTCAACCTAATTTCAATGGCAAAGTGAGTCATCAAACATGTCCAATTAACTT